ACTAAATAATGCAGTAATACAATTTCTGTATATGGCCTACTATCTCCCCCCAATACTATGGCTGGTAAAGAGTAAGCCTCCTTTGATCTGCACCAATCAAAGGGCTACATGTGTTCCTTTTTTATGGCCAGCAATGCAACAGGTATGAACGAAGTTATGTTGCTAATATGTTATACCATGGTATAAGCCCAGCAAATGGTTAGAACATTTACCCTTGGTGTTCACCGTAGTATCCAATCTGCCTACATTGATCTCAGGTGTTACATTCACAGGCTATAGCTTTATGCAAACAGAATTAGGCAGTAACATATGCAAGTTGGCTCCTCTAGATGGCATCTGTCCTGTTTTCAGTGTAGTAAAAATATATCTCCACAACCATATCAAGCTTGTACCGCGTCACTTTGTACTAAACTTGTTAAAGCCGGATGTGATACTGGACAGTATGAATTATCAGCTATCTAGAATTTTTCTGTCAGATTGCAAAATCTAGCTGCATATTTAACAAATTTTTAGCTTCCATCTGAACTAGAATTCCTGTTTTCATCTAGGCATGAAATGTCACAATCTTCTGCTATTTCTTAGCATACAAGATGTCAACGCATACAAGATGTCAACAAAATTATATGAAAGTGTTTCTTCTCTGCCAAATCGAATTTCTTCATATATGATAGTTGTTTGATCTACTTTAGATAATGGTCCACTTATTCAGTAGGTAATCATAGTTGAATTTATCATTTACATCTCCTTTCGCAGGCCACTGTTGTTGTGTAGCAAGATCCTCCTCCTTGCTATATAGGAGTATTAGCATTCTCTTAATCTTTGAGTGTTTTTAATCTGTGGGCATGCACCTGCAATACCTCATGACAAGTGATGATCCCTTTGAGTAGGTACTGCTTTTCTTATATTTATATAGTTTCATGTGCACATTGAGGGTTATGCCCTTTTTGTGCTGTTATCAGACTGTGGCTGTATACCTTTTGAAATCGTGAGCACCTGGTGCATTACGAGTCAAACTCTTAATAATCTAATTATACTAGGAGAGGTTGTTATTCCTTTCTGTCTCCGATCATAGTTAAGAACAACTTTATTTGGAGGCACTTGAACATGGTTTAGAGCAATGATTACGTGGCAAGATTGCATCTTGGCTGTCCATCAGTTAGACTCGTCACCAGTATAGATTGTTGATATCAATGGATGTGTTCGTAGTATATAAATAATTGTTTTTGTTAAACAGTAGTACTCCATTGTCATGCATATTTTTGCCATTTAGACATCACAGTTTCATCAGAATTCGATGTTGTATGGTTCTTCTTTCTGAATTGAATTGTATTACGCTTTACCTTTTCTCGCAGGAAATACTAATTCTGCACTGACATTTCAATTCAATCCCAGGTTTCCCGTTTGTCTATTAAAAGTGTTCCTTTATCCTTATCAGTGTGCCAGCTCATACACCGTACCGAGCCCGTCTCTGTTGTACTCCCTCCGTCCGGAAAAAGTTGTCCAGAGCTTAGTTCATTTCAAATTTTACAAAAAAAACCTTCCGGTTTTAAATCTAGTGCTAATCCCCCCCTCACCTCTGCTTCTTCCTCCTTCGACCAAGCGGCCGTCGTAGCCACCGCCGGCAGCCGCCGTAGAAAGAGCGGGCGACCACCTCCGCCGACGCCCACCTGCGCCGTAGCCCACCTGCGGTTGCTCAGCCGCTACGAACGTGGGCCGTCCGCACGGAGGCGAGCTGCCCCGCCGCCCAGCTGAGGCTGCTCCTCCAAGGCGACCACCTTGACGGGCGCCTCCTCCTCGTGGCCCTGCTCGCGTCCCTGGCCCTGCTCGCCGGTTCCTCACCCTCGCGGCAACCCCAGCCGCCGCTGCCGACCCCGGTCGCCGCTCCCCTCTTGAAGAATTCGGCAGGCAGGGCAAGGCGGATCTTCCCCGGCGGAGAGAGGACCACGCAAACCTGCTGATGCCACAGCCGATTGCTTCTGCTGATTGCTTCTGCTGATTGCCTCTGCTGATTGCTTCTGCCCTCGAGCACCTCGACTGCTGATTGCCTCTGCTGCTGCTGTTGGCTGCAGGTACAGTGCCAATTGCAGTATCAATTTCATTTTGTCAAAGAAGTACTCCATCAGCGTCAATTGCAGTGTCAATTGGAGTATTAAAATTCTCAATTGCAATGCTGATCTACTGCTGATGTTATCTGACATTTACAGTGTTTTGTGTCTGTCAATCATACTCCATTCAGTGTCCTGTGTCAGAAATTTGGTGAAGTGAAGGTGAGGTGAAGTAACTGAATTCACTAGCATAATCTGAATCAAACAAAGCATAGTTTGAATTCACTAGCATAACCTGTTGTAGAAACTAGAATGAGCCTTCTTTTTTTACCCGCCCCCGACCCCGACGCCTCTGGTACTCCGCCTCTGTTCCTGCGAAATCTTGATCACATTAGAGTAAATTGTTCATTTGTTCCTGCGAAAGCTTGATTGCAAATAAAATTAACAGGTTATACAAAGAGTTTAATTGATACAGAGAGTTTAATTGGATTACAATCGAAATTCATTGTCAGGGTCAAAATTCAAAGTATTCCATGCTTGTCCAATTGAATTAAAAACATGTCCCTAAAATTGGAATATTTGAATTAGCTAGGTTTATTCTTCTTCTTCTTCATAAACAGAAAAAAGATGAATATTGCTGGTCTACTTCATAAAATGAATATTCTTCAGTAAACACTTGTAAATCTAGAGTGGTTATAAACTTATTTTCTGGAATCATCAATGTGCATTCAAAAATGGATACTGTATTAGTCAAAAATGGATACTGTATTAGTCAAAAATAAATGGCTCACTTGTTCCTGGCAGAAAATCAGGACTAAATGTTGTCATTGCCTCCTCTGTTGATTTGAAGCACCAGCAGTACGGCAAGAAGAGTTGGCAATTGAAGCAGCAGCGCCACGAATTGAAGAAGCAGCAGCAACACATCAATGGCAACAGCAGGCAATTCTGGAGACAAGAGGGACAACATATCAGTTGAAATAACAGCAGCAGATCAACAGAAATAGCAGCAGCTTGCCGGTGGCCCTACTGAATACAGCAACGCAGAGAGCATCAACCAAAATGAACTTTAGTCTATGAAAGTGCAGAGTTTAAGCTCTATTCAGCAAATGAAAACAGCAATACAGACTAACTCTCTTGCTCTCTTGCTCGATGGTCTCGACGAGTAATTTAGATTACAGAATAAGAATAAGAACAAGGGCTTGAGGATGTTCCTATGAATTTTGTTGTGTCATGTTTCTTTAAGGAATGGCCATGCAACAGAAGAACTGAGAGAGGGAGTATATGACTTCTCTCAATAAAATTCAATTAAATTATGGAGCTGAATCTGACCTCCAGCTCTACAAACTGAAAATTATGAAGCTGAAAATTAAAG